AGATAAAAGATAAAATAGAAGATAAGGAATGTATTTAAAAAATCAAGAAAAAACATAGCTGGATAAAATAAATATATAAATACCTCCGCCGCAGCAAACCTTGAGACTAAGCGAATTTCAACTTGTCTGATTAAATTTTTATAAATTATTTCTATAAATAAGACAGAGTTATTCCCAATTTAAATAACATTAGATTTAACGAGTGCTTAGGTTTGTTTGCTGCTACTCGAAAAAATAGTTCGGTTCATAAAATAAAACTATAAATGCCTCAAATTCAATTTTAAAATTTCTTAATTATAAAATTAAACTGTCATAACCTAACCAAACTTACTGATAATTAAAATTATCCAATGAAGGTTTACTAATTGAAAAAAAATAATAGTTGTAAAACTATAATAGCTCAAATTCAAATTTGTAATGTTTTAATTATAAAATCAAACTCACATAACCTAACCAAACTTGTTGATAATGCAAACATCTTAGACAAAAAGTTAGTGCCACCGATAGGATTCGAATCTGGTAAGCTAGTACTTTCAGGTTTTAGCCCGGCAAGTTATCGATTAGATCACCTAGGCCAACGGCTGCATTCCGTACCGTTGCGGTAATGTTGTGTTCCCTCAGCCAATAGAATCCTCTCATTTTGTCCGTCTTATATAACTGCAGCTGAATTAAAAATTGAGCTTCCCCCACTCCGCAGTCAGGGGACAACATCGTGAATATATAGCGAGAGCGAAGCTTTAAACTCCTATTATCGAAAACAAAACTGCTCAACTTATACTCATAGTAGTGTAGTGATAAAGCTATTTGATTTTAAGCCAATCATCGGTCTCAGGTAAGAGACACGACTCTCGGCTTTTCAAACAATGTATGTAATTGGATGTATCGTTCGTAGGACGAAGAGTGTTCGTGATGTTGGTAGCTAGTCATGTTCTAGTTACTCAAAATTCCCTGCGAGTGTCAACTGATACAGGGGACTTATAGTAAACAACCCCGGCTTTGAATCGCGAAACTTTCCATTAGTTTATCATTTATAAATGATACGTTCCTTCAACTAAAGCTGAATTTGTTTTTGTACCTTGATAATTTGAGATTATTAATTATTAACAACACTTCTATAGATTTAGGCTCAGTGACACCTAGTGGTGACTAGATGAACTGTGCGCAGCTTAGTTAGGGTGATACATGTTAGTAGCGCTAGTGTAGTCGTCAAACACAGCACGTTGTCGATGTTTGTGAGAACACCAAATATTACAGTTAATTCAATTTTATAGATGTAATTGAATTTGAAACGAAGACAACAAGGTAGAAGTGAAATACTATTATTCAATCGTTAAAAAATACGAATATTTTTGTAAGTAGTATTATTTTTATAACTAATGAATAGTGAATAATGATATTCTTGATAAAACAAATTGCAGTATAACAAAGAGACCGGGGACCGGTGTAAATATTGTCATGACATTTTTTCAGTGAATCTTTGAATGAACTATCTTAATGTCTAAAATAGATAAGGACGAAACAGTTTTAATTTGATTAATTAGTGGACAGAATTTTTACTGAATGGATTTACATGAAAAGGTGAAGTTGACATTGTCCAGTCGGTTCAGTAATGTCATTGACTATTATATATGGTAATGTTTATGTGATAGATACATACTTACATGTACTTGATACAGTACTTGGTTTTGGTTTTATCACACTGGTATCCACGCCGTGGTCGTCAAGTATGTATTTTTGGATTTTTATGTTTCAAGGAATTTGTAATGATAGTTATATTTTTGTCTACACCAGTTAGATCTTTAATTTTTCTTTTTTATCCTTATTTTAGCGAATTTCCCTAGGGAAGTAGCTATTACCGTATGTGGCACGGTAAGACCTTGGCCCGGGAACGATTAATTTTGATGTCCCCAGAGGCCATATGTATATATGGCTTTCCAAAGAGCTTATAAAGCAAATAATTCGGTATCTCAAAGTGTTTTTATGCGCTTATTAATTACAAAAAAAAAATTAAAAAATTTGTAATTAAAAATTCCTATGTTATTTATATCGAGAATATTGTAAAATGTTGCAGTTTGCTTGTTTATGGATATTTTAAAGTTCCTCTCATTTTAAAAATGGTTCTCACTACTTGTTTTTGTAATATGAAAAATCTCTGTGATAAAATGATTATCGAGTGTAAAACAGTTAATTTGATCATGAGCCAATCATCGGTCTCGGGTAACTGTTACTAACTAATATTTTTTCTTATTCGTATTATAACTATTCTTTTTTAACTAAATTGTATTCTTAATAAAAATTGCAGGGGTACAGTTTCTTAACTGGGCTATGCTAATATCGATTGAAACTATTGATTCGATTAGTAAACCTTCATGCGATTTTTTCACCATCAGCAAGTTTGGTTAGTTAGGTTTGGTTATGATAGTTATTTAAAAATATCGATTATTAATAAATATTTTCAATTCGATAGTTTCAATTGATATTAGCATAGCCCAGTTAAGAAACTGTACCCATGTAATATATTGCTGTAAGACATACAAGAAAAATATATGAGTGCCAATGGACATAAAGCCCTTTTACCGCGACAACGTTTACACCAAAAACAGGGTACTTCCTTCATGGATTATTAATGTAATACAGTAAAAAGAAGACAACAACTCCATAGCTACATCCACGAATATTAGGCCTAAACGGAAATTTGTATTAGTTATTATATTGGGCAGCAGTAGCAGTTGGCGCAAAAACAAATAACTGCCCGCTCCAAATTGTTCTCGAAGTAATCGGTTACTCTGTTAAGGCTAGTACTCATTAGGACACCCGGTCGCTTATCAACCGGCGACCTGGTTGACGAGCGACTAAGTTGATGATTGAACGTTTTATTGCCGGGGGGTACACACTAGGATACCTAGCACTTTCAACCGAGCAGGAAATTAAAATTTGGTGGGGATGGACTGTGTTTGGTTCTGGAATCTGGTTCGAGCTCTAGTTGCACTGACCTGTGTGTTGTGACAACATGCCCACCTACGAAGAAGAGATTGCTGCCGCAGTTATAATTCTAATTAATTGCAGTAACCATAGACGAAGGATTTTAGATGAAGGATTTTTTTTGAAGGATTTTTTTTAACCATTGTTCAAAAGATTTTGGGCTAAAGGGTGGCTTCAACGCAGACACAGTTACAGCCACATGGCACTTCTACGAACTTTGCGAGATGATAATCATCAGGATTACAAGAATTATTTGAGGATGTCAGACGACAATTTCCGTCACATTTTGCAATTGGTGACGCCTCATATTGGAAAAAAGGACACCCGACGATTGAGACAGGCAATCCCCGCCGAAGAAAGACTCGTAGCAACACTTCGATATCTAGCGACTGGAGCAGTCTACAATAAACTCAAACAATCGAAACCCCCCTCTAGCTTGAAAGAGACCAGGTTTAGCACTAGCACTGTTTAGTTTTGACAGTTGACACAAACAGTGTACTGCGCATGCGCTAGCCGTCTTTAGTTGATCAACTTGGTCGCTGAAGCGTACACACTCTAGTTTTTTGAGAAATCTGATTGCCCGGTGATAAAATGGTTGATCGGAAACCCCCAGGTTTTCGATACATGTCCGAAAACCAAAAAGTTGCCTGGCAACCTCCAAATCGCCGTCAACCAAATTGACAGACACGTACACACACGGCGATATTTGTGCAATTTGGTCGCTCGTCAACCAGATCGCCGGTTGATAAGCGACCGGGTGTCCTAGTGAGTACTAGCCAAGGTATTTTAATCATCTTCTTTCTCAGCAGTCTTTAAAACCTCAAATGATGAAAAGTATGGAAAACTCAGGAAATGAAAATTATGATAAATTTACACTATTATATACGCTAATGGAATTTTTAAGGGAACGGTCATTAACTCTAGATGCCACCATATATAAGTAAGGTATGCTACTATTATTAATCTTAGTATTAAGTATTAATCTATGGTATATCCAACGGGTTCGAGCTAAAGTAATCGAAAGACTTTGCGATTTGGTTTTCTTCCCTACGTTAAAGCAGACGGTTGGTTCTTGCTTCTTCTTCTTGTCAGTTTAGTTGAGTTAGTTCGTTCAGTGTTCATTTGTCATTTTTGTGACTGTGGATTGAGGTTAGACTGTGGAATAGAGATGTACCAAACGATTACTTTCCAGTACCAGATACAACCGATACTGGTACAGCTGAGTACCTGATACCGAGTAGCGAGTACTTTGTACTCGCGATTACTTTTCGACACGACTCCTACCTGTGTCTGTGTACTCGCGATTCCTACTTGAGTGTTGAGTACTTGTACCCAACTCCACTAACAACTCCCGAGTACTATGTACTACCATCAATATGGATACTTTTAACAGTACTAGGCCAGAGGCCTACTAACCGAGTCAATTGTATAACTAGAGAATATAATATTTGTCGGCTCTATAAAACAAAAATATGTTTTTATGAATAAGTTAAATTTATTTCTAAATCCAGGAATCGAAGTAGGCCTACGGGTTCTTTATATTATTAAACGTTTGTCGTTAAACACGAAACAAATATTTTCTTTTTTGTCTGTAGTTTTAAAATCAAGAGAAGTGTGATTAGAAACTATCATCAGACTTTTAGACTGTACTCGATACTTGTAACACTGTTAGAGCAACAGTAGACAGTCTGAGTCAACACTTCGATACAAAGGAATCGTTTATTACTTATTGTACTCGTCTAGTACTTGTACTCGTCTGGTACTTGTACTCGTCTAGTACTTGTACTCGTCTAGTACTACCCGTAACAGGGAGATGAACAGGGAGTACACGAGTAATCGCTAACCTCACTCGTACATCTACAAAACTAGATACTAAAAGTAATCGCGATTACTTTGTATCTGGTACTCGACACTTTCAGTATCTAGGTACTTTTGGAATCGCGAGTACCTAGTACAAAGTAGCGACTACTGATACTTCGACCCACCTCTAGTGGAAATAAATTAACAGAGTTGTAGTAAATTTAATGACTGTTTTTTTAATTATTGCATAAATTTAAAGTAAGTAATTTCAACGTTGTTGGAATAAATAGGCTTACCAGTTTGTTCTTAAATTGCAGTTAAAAACTTTGAGCCCCATGTAACTAGGCCCTAACTGTTAGTCAAGCTTATAGCTTACACTAGTGTCATGAAGAAACAAAAACATATTTTTTCACAAACATATTGTTTTTTTAAGTGAACTCACTTTAAAGCTGTTAATATTTTGATGTAGGCCTATCTAAATCATTTCTCAGTTCAATAAGAAGTATGAAGTATGTTTTATGCTAATAAACATAACATCTGGTAAGGCCATGTTTCTTCAAAGTTAAATATCTTGGAAGCAGGACCTTTTCAATTCTTACATTTTTCTTTTAGCTAGTCAGAAAATCTTGCGGTATTATCCAAATAATAATCTATCAAACAAAAAATACTAAAATTAATTTCTCTCTTTGGCTTGTTTCTGTCAATGCAAATGATTAAGTTGTTGTGATAATAGAATTGAATTTTGAAAACAATATGAAATGCTTATAGGCCTATCAACAATTAATTTTAGGCCTAGTTGCCTTGTTAACCGTAATAAAATAGTAGGTAGTGGACCTGTTGCTCGAATTCCGAAGTATCTTGAGCAATTGGGAAATATTATAGGCATTAGGCCTACTTTAAAAAGGATTAGCCGTCATAAGTAATTTCCGATGGTTTTAAAAGAGTCAACTCAAATATTATGGAAATACACACAATGTACATAACAGTTCGATATAGATCAACATTTCTTGTAAATAAGTTATGTTATTAATTTTCAAAAGCTGATTTTGTTTTTTAGTGTTTACTACAAATGTTTCCCCCTAAAATGGATAGCGGGATAGGCCTTATAATGTTGTCCATAATTAGGATTATAAATTGTACAAAAACCATTACTGTATTACTATTTCTTCTACTTCGTGGTGTTCTGACTTTCCTATGTTTCCATAGTTTGCAAATTGGCTCTTTCCATGATTGCTCAAGAAATGCAGCACAGTGTTAATTAAGTTTTTTTCGTATATCAAACTGTCCAAGCTTTCTCACTTTTTTCCATTTTAATATTTAGGCTACGCCAACTCAAATTCAAATACAGTAGACTCCCTCTTATCCGGACACCTTTTAACCAGACATTGGTTTAACCGGACTAGATCGGCAGGAAGTGAGCGGTATTGAAACAACTGTTCTCATGGGAACGATTTGAGACCAGTGATCACGTGTCTAAATACAAAACTATCCTAAATTTAAGTAGAATATCACAGTAAACGGTTTGTTTTGGAGATGTCGTTTAACCGGAAAAACCCTTATCCGGACTGGCCTCAGTGCCGAGGAGTCTTTTTCCACTTCCTTTTCACTTTTCCTTATCTTGCAACCAAAATCCCTAACAGCAATTAAACTATCCATCTGATCATAATGTAAAAAAATATGTTCGTCACAAGGATAACATGGGAACTTTAAAAGCTACTGGGGCAGAGCCCAAGGGGCTTTTTCAAACATGTATGGTCAGTTTGTAAATCTACACCTAGACAAACATTTTGGTATATTAATGTGTAGGGTTAAATCGCAAAACAAAAAAGCCTTATTGTTTACAAAGTTTCATGTAGCATATTAATAATATAGCCTAGATAACTTATAGCATCGGCCAATGGGTACAAAGACAGATATCTTTTTAACTAAACCATTTCGGGAATAGTTTTATTCTTTGTTTTCTTCTCATTTTTACCTATAAAACCATTTCCTGGAGTTTGTCGTAATGGAAGCTGAACACTCTGGATAAGAAATACCACCTGTTAAAGAGGATAGGCTATGTCAGTTAGAAGCTACTTGAGATTTGTCTATTGCTTTGTTTACAGGTAATTTAAATGGATGTGTTTAACAAGTTTTATTCTACTGTGTCAACGACTGTCTCCCAACTCCAGGGAGTGTTGCCTGGCAACCCGGTCACCAGAGAGTATGAGGTGATTGCTCACATCGCCAGCGCTGGCTCAGGTAAGACGTAGTTATAATATAAGACCCTTGGTTTAGACTTTTGGTATCCATTTTTTAACGTGTGCTTCTCTGGTTCCTACTGAATCAACTTCTGTTGCAGTACTGTGTTATGATTGAACTGCATAGGTGCAATTGAACTACAAATATATGATTGAAAGTAATCAATATTTGTCAAATATTAACTAGGTAGGCTAGTTGTATTGCCTAACTTTATTAACGAATTCCTTAGTTAGCTTATATGTGGTTGGTTTGAAGTTCATCCTCTACTAGGCCTATTTAACATTCAATTTTTGGAAGAAAAATAACTGATTTTTTTTTCTTTACAGTTCAGGCTAGTCTTTTTCTTGGGGATATCATTGTTTATACCGGTATCAATGCAATATTTGATATTTGCTAGTAAATTTCCGTTGGAAAAACTTGGTTCAAGTATATTTTTCAGTAGGTTTGAACTCAAGAAACAGTTATTTTTTGCTTTTATTCCATTACCGCAACCACAAAAAAAAATCTAGAGTGTCCAGCAGGAATTGGTTAACCGTTGGTTCCCAGACTGAAGAAAACGCTACGCTTGCGTGTATTATTCGATAATTTGAATAGTCAACTTTGATTCCCTTAGGCCTTCACTGGAAGATTTACAGCGGATACAAAAAGTCTACGAGACAAGAAGCGAGCATATTTGTTTTTGAGAAGCGACAGTTGGACCGATGGACCAAACAGGATAGAGAAGACATCCTTAGTTCTCTGAAGAGAGGAGCATCACAACTGACCAGGCTTAGACATCCGCAGATTCTGGTTGTACACCATCCTTGCGAAGAGTCCAGGTAAGAGTTTGTTTGAGGGTTTGACATTTAACATACAAAAAAATCAAAACTATTGGCATAATATAATTGAAAACACAATTCTTGGAGCAGTCCAAACCTCAAGTTTTTACAAATAACTCTGCAAGTCCAAAACACGAACCTCTTTGCTTGGTTATTAGAGGTTGATGATTTTATTAGGCCTATATTTGTTTTTAAGTATGTGATGATTGATGCGGTTACCAATTAAAACTATTTGTGCCGTGGATTTCATGTAATAACTATAATAGCTATAATGGGCTAATTTGCCTCCATCCAAAATAAAGCAAGATGTCTTTAAAATATTTCCTCTTGTTTGTAGTTTATCGTTGGTGATAGTAAGTGAATGTTGTTTAAAGGATTATTCTGCAAGGACCTTTAAGGTTTAAGGAAAATGTCCGCAATAAACCTGTATACCCCCTGTGTTGTAAGTCCTCTTGCATAAAAATATTAAGAAGGTTTGAACATGTGAGAATAAAAAATAATATTTCAAAGAAATGTTTTTGGAGTTGAACCCTGATAGTTAAAAGAGGCGAAGAAAAAAACCTAGAACTGTGGTTTAGAGAAGATGGAGAGGCTTGGTTTAAATGGCCTGACAAAAATAACTAGAATGAAAGTGAATGTTTTAGTAGCCTACTTACATATCAGTCAGAATATTATTTAGTGTTTATTACTCATTCTTAAGTGAAAATTGATTTGGTTTTCCTTTTTCAGAGACAGTTTAGCTTTTGCTACAGAGCCAGTCTTTGCCAGCTTGGCAAACATCCTCGGCAAACTGGAGAATACTCCGACACCGCCAAGTCCGCAGTTGAAAAACTACAAACTGTTTGAAGTGGAAATCAAGTACGGACTGTTGCAAGTGAGTATAACAGTACAGACACAACCAATGTCATGGTCGAGCATCTTTGGGTTTATCTGGTCCAGCTGTTTTTGGGAGTTTTAATAAATTATGCTGTCTTATGAATGTCTTTTTCAGTCCATACATAGTATCGATACAAAGTCGGTAGTGCCATGGACTTAATGCCCAAGGCAGCGTTTTCATGGGTTTGGATTCTGGTACTGGGTGGTGCAAACAAACGGAAACCCAAAAATAAATGATAAAATATTGTTCAACACACCCAACACAATTTCGAATACTGTGCTGCGGCTATCGCAGTCCTAGCCTTGGTGAAAACTGATAAAATGTAAAAAATAAAACCCCCGCCGCAGCACACCTGCCGTCTAAGCAAATTTCCATTTGGCCGAATTGATTTTCAATTGATCTATTTAAATAACATTATTAGGTTTAACGAGTACCTAGGTTTGCTGCTACAAGGAAACTAATAAAGTAGTGTGTTTTTAGTAAAATATTGATAGCTTACTATAAAATAAATAAATTTGCCAAGTTTGATCAAAATATATCCATAAACAAGCAAACTACAACATTTTACAATATTCTCCATAAGAATAACATGGGAATTTTAAATTTACCATTTTTTTAGTTTTCTCCGTAACTAATAACCGTACAAAAACACTTTGATATACTGAATTGTTTGTTTTTTTAACCTCTGAAGGTTTAGAGAAAAATTGGGAAATTTTGTGTTTTGAGGGTAAAAAGTGAGAAAAACCAATTTTTACCCCATAAAACCCCCCATAAAACCCCCCATAAAACCCTGTTCCCATGGTCTGATCATGCTGGATCGCGAACTCATTCAAGTTTATCCCGCCTTATTTTTCACGGACACATATATATATATATAAATCTATATATATACTAGCTGACCCGGCGAACTTCGTATCGCCTAAGTTATAGGTTTCCCCTAAGACAGACCGATGGAAAGAAAGTACCGTTACGTTTAATTTTCAAGATGATCTCGTTCGCATCGCTGAATCACGTCCTGGTTGAAGTTCGTTCGCTACGCTCACTCACCTTTGGGTTGGAGCTCGTTCGCTACGCTCACTCACCTTTAGGTTGGAGCTCGTTCGCTGCGCTCACTTGCCTTCAGGTTGGCTCGTTCGCTACGCTCACTCGCCTCCAGGTTGAAGTTCGTTCGCTACGCTCACTCACCTTTTGGCTGCAAATTAGCTGTTGTCATAAATGTAAAAGAAATAATAGTGCTGCACCCTGTTGGTAATCCTTGTAACTTTAATGCTATTGAACATCATAGAACAGAACCAACTTGTTTAATTGAAACAGCTGTTAAGATTCATTAATTCCATTTCTCATAAGGTTAACATGGGAAACTCCAGAGCCACTGGGGCGGAGGGAGCCCTTTTAAGAATTTCGAAACGGGAAATAGTTTACGTCCGATTCGCATACCTACAGAATTTACACACCAAATTTCATAACGATCGGTGAAGTCGTTCCGGAGGAGTTTGCAGACAAACACTGTGACACGAGAATTTTATATATTAGATATATATCTATATATATATATATATATATACATATATAAAAATTTGAACGAATGGTGTTTTTGGCCTCTGGGGACATTAAAATGAAAAAGTAAATCGGTCCCGGGCCTAAGTCTTACCATGAGACCTACGGTAATAGCTACTTCCCTATAGGGAAATTCGCTAAAACACTATACTTTCAACAATTTTCGACGATCAGCTGATCGATCATTGTTGCAATATTCATGAAACACTGTTAGCGTTTGGGTTTCCTTGTTTTTGCTTCACCCCGTTCGTACATGCCACTACTTTTTATCGGTATAGCCCATGTACTGTACCGGCTAAGCCCTTGCTTTGCTGAATATGTTCCATGCACAGGCCTCAGTGGCCCATGTGGACGGGCACATACAAGGCAACAGAGGCTGCCAACGTTTTAAAAATTAAAAATAAGGAAAGATCTCGACTTCATTATCTAAAATCATACAGCATTTCGCTCACTATATTAATGAAATGACACAATTTAAGGCCAAAAGTATTATAGTAACCAAACAATAACATTTCTAGGTAGGAGAGGGGCTTGCATTTTTGCACAACGATGCTAAAATTCTGCACCACAACCTGACACCGGAAAACATTGTTGTGAACCAACAAGGCGCCTGGAAAATCTTTGGTTTCGATTTTTGCATTTTGAATTCTCAACCTGCTGCGGCTACTGTGAGTATTTTCTTGGTTATTATTGTCAATACCTTGGTAGTCTTTGGGTAGTTCTATTCTCTGATCTCAAAATGTAGGTTTCAAGGGAAGAAATCTATCACCTCCACTTGACCTCAAAAGTGCCTTAAAGGGTGCCTTAGTGAGGCTATTACAATAGCCTCAACCGCTGATATTAAAGCAAAAATTTATCCAATCCATCTATCAGCTGTAAGATACATTAAGCAAAAAAAGTTACGAGAAAACATTCCCTCAAACCACCTAATTTTTGTGAATGAATCATAGTTAGAATGCAGATTAATTTTACACTTGAGTTTAAATATTCATTCAGTATTAAATCAATGTAATACTATAACTACAGTACGGTCCATGAGAGTCTGCAGTTGAGGGAGGCGCCTATATTTACCACATGACTTCGAAGGAGCCAATGATGACAGTACAGTGTTGTCAAATCTAATAATACCAGCTGATTTGAAAATATTGTTTGGTATATTTTAATTAGTGTCAAAAAGTAGTGAACAGTGATGTTGCTGGTCCATTCTTTATATTGGCTGCCACCAACTGCAGACTCTCGTGGCCCCTAGTATAGTTTAGCCTATTTATTTTTTACAATGATCAATATTGATCAATATTTAATAGCTTTTTATCTGTGCCAAAAACTTTTCTTGGTGTTTTTCCAATAGTGTTTCAATCCTGTAATCTATAAGAAATGTTTATTATGAAACTATAACTGTTGTTTCTCAGTCCGTCATCAAATATTGTTATCAAACCTTTTATTTACACTCACTGATAAAGAAATGAAACGTCTAGTATCAATTCTCATGACTGCATCTGTCTTTGGTTGTATTCTTGGACAAATATTATTTTGTTACTTAACTGCTTGAACAGTTTATGACTCATTGCAGTCTAAACTATTTAAACGTATTGCGCAAAAAAGATAATAGTTAAGTTACTTGTTAATTTGGAATTTTACTCACATTATCTTCACAAGCAGAAAAATATAGCTAAGTGAAATTCTATTGCTAAAGCTAAATAGAAATACTTCAAACAATTGCAACAATGATATGTTGCAGGGAAAGAAAAAAGTTGGTAACTGCTACTATTTTTTCGAACTGATAAGGGTTGCACTGAAGGGAGTTTTGTTTTTGAAAGCAACAGCTGACTTTGCCATTTCACAATGCAGTCAATTTCCCATTAGTTTGTTTTGTTTTATTGTTGTTATCTGTTTTAATTACCTTGGTTCTGCGTTTGTGAACCGTAATCTAAGGTATGTCCAGGTGTTTTTATTTTTGTGAAATTTTGATTTTTAATGGTGATTTTTCCATAAAATCCGATTTCTACAAAAACTGCTCAAACAATTTCGATTTTCAATGTACTAGCCTATAATATGGTCATTTTATTTTCACTCTAAGCCCAATGTTACAATTCCCCGTGCTGTAAAAATTCAATTCAAAAGCTATTACATTTTTTTGTTATTCCCAAAAAATACCATAGTTACTCCCACCCCTTACCAAGCATAATGGCTGTTGACAAACTAATGTGATGTATGTGTCAGTTTGCTAATTGTTTCGTTTACTGTTTGGTGCATATACGTTGTCGTCTTCAGTATCCAAAGTCAATGGTATAATCTGGTTATTTTTCAGCCTGTTTGGCTGTGGCAGCAGTACAAGCCAGATGTTCATCCATTGGCGCAGCCAGAACTGGACTATCTCGCCCCAGAGGTAGGTGTACTAACTGTAAAATACTACAATAATCCAGCTACTAGGAGGTCACAAACTGTGGATATTTATAGGCATGCACTGTGGATGCGATACTCCCTGGTGTGGAGTAAAGTCTGCAGTACTCCTGATAATTAGACCAATTCGTAAATTACAAGGCGAAAATGTTTCGGATTCCACTATAAACTGTGTAGGTCCCTTAGTTGCCATCGTATGGGCTATTAATTAACAGCTGTGCCTAAGGAAAGTGTCGGCCTTAGTGACTAACAAGACTACAAGATCGGGGTACTCATCATACACTCACCTCCATTTATACTAACAATCGTATGTTCGCCATTCGATGCTATTAAAGTATTAAGTATTTTTATAAAAATGAATTGTTATGTTAATGCATACTTGACCTATTGGTCGAGACAGCAGCTCATAGTGTTAGCTGTTTATGATTGTAGAATGAGTCAGATGACTTATGTAGTAGTTTAGCTAAGCTATCATAGTTTGTTGTTATTTATTTTATAAACATCTGAGAGCTAAGTGGTTGCATGGAATTCAGAAGGTAGCCGGTTCAATCCTAAGAAAAGTCATTGCATTTCAACGGCTCGAATCTGAACCCAGATTTTATTGTTGTGGCTAACGAATCAGCTCGTCTTCACAATGCATATCGCTCAACTCTACACTAATCCTTCATTCTGTTTCAAGTTAAAATGTTTCAAGCTGCATCTTTATTTTTTAAATAATATCTGATTTTTTCTAAAGATACATAGAATGCAGGGCGGGTGCAATATAAAGTGAGACGACCTAGGCTATTTAATGGGAAAGTTCTGCCATTTCTTTAGCCATTGCCAATTAAAAAGCCCAAGGAAAGCTTAATCAAATTTCAGACTCAAAAAGCTACTGACTCTTTTTTTAATAATTAAAAAATTTGTTTGATAAATAATGTCTATAAAGCTGGTATTCCTAGGCGCGAGTGCGGAGGAGTGGTTTTCGGGTCATTCAAAAAATAATTCAGTGGCAAACCGCTTCACTCCCAGGAAAATAGTACCGTACCCCCCTCGGTGCTATGCGATGATATATCGTTGTGCATCTTTTTCCTGAAATTCTATTGAACGATCGTTGTCCGTGTTTCGTCCAAATAGTGCTAATCGACGATATATTGTGCTGGTGCCACTTTCGTGTGAGTTTTTAAATAGACATCACTTTCGTGTGAGTTTTTAAATAGACATATTGGTTGACTCGATTTTTGTTTTGAAACATCGATGGATCATTTCGATTCCTCATACGATTGAGGCCCAGCATATCGTTCCTTAGTACTTTTGAGGTTAAAAATTGTGTTTACCGAATGTTTTTTCTTACACTAGACTTTGCCCCCGTGGCAATCCTAGCACTTTTAGGACAAAATAAGTAAATAACTCTAGCATATTTTGGAAACTTACAACAACAAAATTCCAGCATCGAAAGGGTTAAATTTGATAAAAAAGGAGAGCGGACCCTGTGCTCTGCTTCTGTATCTAGGAAAATCAGCTTATAAGGAGATAAGTATTTAATATTTGGCCTTAGCATAATTTCCATTCTTTGTTTGAAGTTCGCTATTGGTTATGGTAACTATGTTATTTGAGGTATGTAAGGACCAATGCACCTCTTTTCAATACGTTTTGTGCAATACCAATACGAGACTTAAAAATCTAAGAGGTCTCGATGTACCTCGACTACTCAAAAGTTGTATGCAAGTCAGCTGTTTTTGATTCTTGTTGAGACTTGAAAATCAATTTATTTGTGATGTAGGTAGCCCTGACGGAAAGTAACGGAGCAGCGAGTGACATGTTCAGCCTGGGAGCTGTCATAACAGCGTTGTACAACGACGGCCAACCTCTGCTGACTGCCAACAAAGACTGGATGTCTTACAAGCGAAACATCAATGAGGTCAGTGTGTGTGCTTTTACAGTAGTCGTAAAGTATTTGTGGACGGAATGCTTATACCGTAATATTAAAAGACTTTGTGTACTTCTTCCTCGGATAAGGTCTATATGTGTATATTTTTGTGTATATCTACGGTTTGGCATTTTTAAAAGTTTTTGTAAGTGAAGAGTCTAACCCCTGGTTTTGCCACTATCTGGTCCAACATTGATACTTTTAATACTTTTCAATGAAATGGCAACCATTATTACTACCTACCTGGAGTTTTTCAGGTCATAAATGCCAAAATTCTGTAGTTTTTATTCCGGTAGACTTTCTTTAAACCGACTTTGGATCAACTGACGCTCAGATTAAAGCTGCGCGCGCACTACGGCGGCACGGCACGGACGGGCGGGCGGCACGGCAATTTTTAAAAGTTAATAACATTGAATGTCATATGAGTGCGCCCACTACGGCGGCACGGCCGGCAACGGACGTTCGGCAGCTTCCGCCGTTTGTTAAAAAGTCCGGGAGACAGAACTCCAGGACATTTCCGAGCTGCCGTGACGCCCGTACCGCCCGTACCGACCGGGAGCACTGCACAGCGACCGGGCGGGCGGCACGGGACATCCGCCATTCTCAACTGATCTCTGTCAAAGTAGCAGTAGTAGTAGTTTTCGTGTGTTGTAAACATAGATGTTAGTAAGTTGATTTTTCTCGTTGATAAATACCCGAAACTGTACAACATGCGACATCCGGAATATTTTAATAACGTCCGGCGTGACAATATATGGGCAAAAATATGATCTATTATGAAACAATCAGGTAAGTTTTACACATAATCCTTCTACAAGATCAGGAAACAAGGTGTGGAACTCTCCAAAACTTAGTCTTTTCCTGTTTATGTGGTGTAGCTAAAATCTTTGCTTGCACCTTCTTGTCTCCTCTTCCTCTGCTAAAATTAAACCTACTACTGTATCACCACTTTATCTACATCCATCTTTACTCACAATTTTTAGACTGTCAACTGTCCTAAATTGCGGATGTGCGGATGTCCCGTCCCGTCCGTCCGTGCCGTGCCGCCCTAGTGCGCGCACCCCCTCTTAAAAATGCCGTCCGTGCCGTACCGCCCGTCCGTGCCGTGCCGCCGTAGTGCGCGCGTAGCTTAATCGAATCTTCCCAGACAAAAGTACAGGTCGGTTTATCTGCCATTAATTTTCTAAAATTTGGTTTGACCAAACTTTTGTAGGGGTCCAGTGACTTTTTCTATTCTTATCGCGGTAAAAGAAATTAGTCAGTCTTATAGTGGGGCGAGAACGAGTGGAGACCACTCTGCTTTTTCCAAAGAACTTGTATAATGGTAAGGAGCCCGTATTTTTCCAAAAATTTTGTGAGCGTTCCCACACTAAAAAAAATATACCTACACCACTCAGCAGTGGTGGATCTAGAACAGCCACAAGGCGGGGGGGGGGGGGGAATTTCGGGGGTACCCCCACCAAAATATTTCTGTAAACTAAGTCTCCAAAATGGCAGTGTTATACCATTACTTTATCCAAAATTAGTGTGACAAATTATTGTACGCAATTTGTAGGTACTACTATATTACATGCAGTAAAAAAATATATGTATATATATGCCCAAGGGGGGGGCGGTCTCCCCCATTCGCCCCCTCTCTAGATCCCCCACTGCCACTGAGGTCGTGAAGATATAGTTTTCTTATGAACTACAAAGAAAAATGAAAGTGATGAAAAAATCACTGACCTTTACATGTAAAGTGTGATTACACATAGTGAATTTTATTTTAATGAGTGATTAAGGCCTTTTATAAATATCATGTAGTAAAAGTTAAAATCATAATTTGTGTGTGTTTTTCTAACCAAGTATTCTAATTTTCAAAAATGTTTCCCAGGCTGCAACACATTTCAAGTCCAGTGTTCAGCTTTTTTTCTTGAGCTCTACCTGCAAAGGTAGTTGAAGGTGTATTTTTAATTAAGTTACTCTTGCTTCCAATTAATGTCTGGATTTTGACAATCCAACAGCTGATCCATCTTGAAGACTTTAAAGTGTTTTGTCTGTTACAGCTGAAGCAGCTACCATTGTCCAAACTGATGTGTGTGGCTGAAGGTTTAAGAGACATGGTGAGACTCATGCTTAATGTCAAGCCCGAGTTGAGACCAGACGAACACGAGTTTCTTAAGGTCAGTGTCTTCTTTCTTATAACTCTCAAGTCTAAAAAAAAAAAAAAACATTGAACCTAATACAGTAGAACTCTATCCACCCAAATCAATTGAAATATCAATTTTACCACATTCCGATTTATCAAAAAATTTGGGTAGTTTGATTTTTACCTTGAGGTATTTTATTATTTTACTTGTCCTCTAAGAGTTTGGGATTGAAAAATTTACGGTTTTGACTTTTATCATGATAGGGAAGATGTTTTTGTGACCGCAGGACATGATGATGTTCACAAGACCGTGAAGATGTGGAAGATTTTGCCATGATTGTGGAAGACAATGAAGATGTATATACATAAAAAAGAATGATGATCAAGTATTATTTTGTAACCGCAGGAGACTGATAATAATTTCCTGTGACCACAAGAGACAAAATGTCTACAAAACCGTTAAAAATATTAAAGGTTTTGCACTTTGCAGCAACCGGGAAGACAATTATGATGTCTACTTATTTGTGGTTGATTTTTAATACTTTGCTGCGATCTCGGAAAATGATGATGTATATACGACCACGAGAGGTATTTAAGATTTTGTCACGATCATGGTAGACGATGATGTTTCCATGAACGCAGAAGACGATGATGTCTACACTACCGTGGGAGATATTCAGGATTTTACTGTGATCACGACTTCTGCCTCATTCCACTGATTCTTATCACTGGTTATCGTTTTTTTTATTCTTTCCTAAGTGATTCAAATAGTTGGAGTTGTGTATACAAGTTCACTGACAAATCTTACTTAACATCTCTTTATTTCACTTTTTTACCAAAACGTATTCAAATTGTTTCTCATTGTTTACAGATAGACTTCTTCAATGACGTGGGGGTAAAAACTCTGAACTACCTGGACTCTTTGTTCCAGTGGGATAACCTGCAAAAGTCTCAGTTTTATAAGGGACTTCCCGAAATAATTGAGAAACTACCACATAGAGTGTGTCTGTTCAGGTAACTTGGTACATTTACACCTAACTTAGTTACTAGTACTGTAATGTTATTTAAAGTTAGTTCTATAGAGTAACTGTTATGACTACAAAACTATACCATTGGACTGTCCCCTTGAAAAAGATTTCTTGAGGTAAATTAAAGTCTTGTAACAATATAAATATGCTACCAATTTTGAAACAAAGAAAGTTTGTAATTGTTTTGTAATTCACTTGATGAAATCACAATCGTGGATGAAGACGTGACAAGTAACACCTAGTAATTGTATTTTACACATAGAGTTTTCATGAAAATTTCCAGGTAAGAAACCCCTGATATTTGTATGGCAGTTGCTCTAATCACCCTGTTTGACAAACACAATATTAAAAGAATGATTGCAAAATATTTGTAATTATTGGCTTGATGTTTCAGAGTTATTCCTTGTTTGGTGAAGGAATTTGTGAACCCAACGATGGTTCCGTTCGTTCTGCCCAATGTTTTGCTCATCTCGGAGAATTGTTCCAAAGAGGAGTTTTCTCAACTTATTCTTCCTCACCTTAAGCCTGTCATGAAAATGACAGATCCGATTCAGGTATGTATCATAATTATTTAATATTTATCATAATATAATTGTAGGTAGACAACAAGAATATTCCTTTTTCATTTACTTTCTAGAACATTACTAATGGGATGATGCTCCTTTAGGAAATTTGTTTGAACTGTGATGATTTACTGGGAAGGTAAATTCTAAGCGATATGAGTCAATGGGGGAAATTATGTATGCGCTTAAAGATTGAAGCAGTCTTAAAAACATAACCTCTAAGTTTTGGACACAATGACACTTTGGATCCAATTATTAAAAAATTAGCTAGATTAGATTACATTTAGGTTAGATTTTTACACACTAGGGTGTACGGTGTACGTATAAAATAAATTTAAAAAATGAGTGCTGTACGAATGTGATGATAGCTTTGTTTCTGACTAAGATCAGCTGGTTATTTTAGCCAGGTACGTTGATAAAAAGTTTGCTGATCAAGGACAGCTGGGTCATGATTCTGACCATCAAAAACATCTTCTCCTATTCCACAGTTCTTCTTCCTCCACCATCTGCCATTTCTCGTCTCCATTTTTCCAACTCACCCACCTCATATTCCCCCTTTTCTAGGACTGCTCTGTCTATGAAAAGCATTTAAAACTCTTCAAAATACTCATGCCCTCAACACTTATCACAGCCATGTTCCATTACCTTGACAGCCATCTGTTTCCGCAGATCCTGCTTATCTTCATGCAAAAAATGGAGTTGCTTCTGAAGCTATGTCCACCAGAAGAGGTGAAGTCTGATGTATTGCCGATGTTGTATCGAGCGCTGGAAGCGGATGCTCAGCAGATTCAAGAACTCTGCCTGTCTGTGCTGCCCAACTACGCGACACTCATCGAGTACCCGTCGATGAAGAACGCGCTGCTGCCCAGAATCAAGCGGCTTTGCATATCAACTTCTTTCATATCGGTGAGTCTCTGATTTACGTGTGTTTAGATGCCGTAACCATATCCCAAGAACTAGTTTATGGATATGGAACTCCATATCCATAGTTTAGGTGAAGACTGACTAAACATATATCCGCATAAGTTTGAAGGATTTTTGTTAATTTAGTGCAGGTGGAAAACTTAATTAATTTGTAGAAACACTTTACAAGACGGGAAACAGAAATGGTCTTCCAGAATCCAAAGAGAAGTAGTAAGGTACAGAGGAAACATTCAATGGTATACTTAAGTGGTGTCTAGCTCTAATGGCTGGTGTCTAGGGAAAAGTCCGACACTCCTTCGTGCTCACGGTAAAGGAAACCCTGTCGATAGGAATTTTTTCAGAGTGCTTGTCGTTCAGACTCCTCCTTGCTCATCACAAATATATTTCCGGCACAACATCCCAGAGATAAAAATCGCGATGTAGTCCTACAAGCAACCTCTGTACCTTACTTCTTTGTGCAGATTTTTTTTTTCATTGATTTTACTTCTACCATCAACAATTTTGAACTTCATACAATGTCTTGATTCTTGTGTACTCTGTTGTTGACTCTTGTATTGAGCTGTGGTATTGTGTTCTAGGTTAGGGTCAACTGTCTCGTGTGTGTTGGTAAGCTGTTGGAACACCTGGACAAGTGGCTTGTACTGGACGAAGTTTTACCGTTCCTGCCTCAGATACCCTCGCGAGAACCAGCCGTCCTCATGGGAATACTTGGTAAACCTTGGAGTAGGACATTTTAACCAAAAGCACAGAAAAGTTTTGGGGTTGGGAGTAAGAGTAAATATATGTTCAAAACTAGGATTAAAAAGATAATCCTTTTGATTTATTCAGCATTGCCTCCAGGATTGATTTAAGACAATATAAAATAGGTTACGTACCTTTACGTCGTCAATCCTAGGTTAGTCTTTTTAGCAGCGACTAGTTTCGAAACTGACGTTTCATTTTCAAGCCTTGTCAAACATAAAATTACTTGAACATAATGTCGTCGTCAAAGTACACAAATATAACATTTAACACGCACAAATACATTAAGATACAGAAAGACGCGCGGCCGGCCATTACACGCACGACGGACACGACTCAACTACCGACTGCCACTGGTCTGGTGACATTGACCTTGGAGGGGGTTGGACAGCTGATTATGAGCGCCTTTGTTATCAATGTCCTCAATCCTATCAAATATTGTGTTACGACCAAAATTTAGCTTTTCATTCAGGATGTCGTGGGGAAACCTTTTTGTTGCTTTGTAGATTTCATAGCTTTCAAGGACATTAATTAAGGAGCCTTTGGTGCATTTATGTAAAATACCCAGGTTATCACTACAGCTGCTTACGTTGAAGTGAACACCTGATGAATGACAACCACAACGTAAGCAGCTGTAGTGATAACCTGGGTATTTTACATAAATGCACCAAAGGCTCCTTAATGAATGTCCTTGAAAGCTATGAAATCTACAAAGCAACAAAAAGGTTTCCCCACGACATCCTGAATGAAAAGCTAAATTTTGGTCGTAACACAATATTTGATAGGATTGAGGACATTGATAACAAAGGCGCTCATAATCAGCTGTCCAACCCCCTCCAAGGTCAATGTCACCAGACCAGTGGCAGTCGGTAGTTGAGTCGTGTCCGTCGTGCGTGTAATGGCCGGCCGCGCGTCTTTCTGTATCTTAATGTATTTGTGCGTGTTAAATGTTATATTTGTGTACTTTGACGACGACATTATGTTCAAGTAATTTTATGTTTGACAAGGCTTGAAAATGAAACGTCAGTTTCGAAACTAGTCGCTGCTAAAAAGACTAACCTAGGATTGACGACGTAAAGGTACGTAACCTATTTTATATTAATCCTTTTGAGCCTGTCTACAGAATTTGAACCACCCAGGAGGTTATGTTAGACAAATTCAATGATTTTCAAATTTTCCTCAATTTTCTGTTGAATTTGATCAAAATCTTCAGTAATTTGTGATGTATGATAACCCTTTTGGATAATTTCATTAGTTACTATTTAGTGTTTCCTGATCTTTTTAGGTATATTTTATACTCAATGGCAATTTTTAAACAAAACTTGTCATATTTCATATTCATATCCTAACCTAGAAGCTAGGCTACCGCAGACAAAGTAGACTGTCCAATCTTTGTTCTTTGAAATGACTATTGCTGGAAAAGGAAAAATACTGGACGACATCTCAGGGGATTAATAGTCCCAAAGATCATTGGGTTGCGTCAATCCATCTTGGCAGGATACAATGTAATTCAATCACGTCTAAAGACCAAAATTTGACAAATCTTAGAAGAACTGATGTCTCTGCTACTGGCACTGCATACATAAGTACTCCAGTGTCTATTAATATCTTTATTCCATCCTAGGTATTTACAAACTGGTCTTGAACCACAAGAAGTTTGTAATGACCAAGGAGGTGATGGCGACCAAGGTGATTCCGTTCCTGATGCCGCTCAGTATAGAGAACGCTCTCACGCTAAACCAGTTCAACGCTATCATCGCAGTCATCAAGGAGATGGTCAACCGTGTGGAGGCCGAGCAAAAGGTCAAACTGGAACAGCTCAACTCTATACAGAACGAGCAAAAGTGAGTTTGAAATTGTGTGCTTGATGATGGCTTCTGACTTCTTTAAAAATGTTGTTAAGAAAGATTTTTGTTAAAGAATTTAATTTTGCTTCATCTAGTTGTGAAGCTAGATGGCTAGAGAACAATTCACTTAGTAAATGGAAGGCTTGAAGGATCATACTTTGACAAGATTTGTGGACACATGATACTTGCCAGGTTACATAGAGAGCATACCAATAGTTTTGAGTTTTGCCTTGCTAATGTCCTTGTTTACGGAAGTGGAAACCTTTGCAAGACTGATGTGGCATCTACGGCTAGAAACATTTAATTCCCAATTCAAAGCTTTAGTCGAACCAAACTAAATAAGTATTATATTGAGTCGCCAAACAATGTATCTCTGTGTCAAACTATAAGAGAAATTATAATATCAACAATAATAATTGTACCCTATGTGAAAGCTTCATTCTGCAATGTACTCATTGAATAAAAAACTTGCTGGTAGCCTACATTCGATGAATGTCTTCTCCAATATCCTATATTATTGCCATTGTGTACTGCAGGGACATGGATATGAACATGAAGACCTTCAACTCAGCCCCTCCCACTCAATCGGAGTTTGAGGAGATTCTCGGCATGAAGCCGAGCATACCTAAACCAACTCCCACTCTCAAATCAGACCTGTCCACCTTAACTCAGCCCAAAGGTTTGACTCTGCAGGATAAACAGGGGTAAGTTAAATTGTTTTTTTTTCAATTTTCTGTGATTTTGAATAAGTTTAAAATATAACCTACACGGCAGATTCCAAAGACAGTGTACGTGCTATGTAATAGTTTAAGGTCGCTCTTACGTGGCATTTAAGATTAAAACGCATCTATTTATCTGTACAGTTTGATCTAAAGATTACTCAAGTGTCTTAGGTACGGCAAGGTTGGGAAAGTCTGGTAGGAAGTCCTGCTTACATCCCCACTTTCAACTCTTTACTTCCAGAGTCAGAAATATCTGAGATGATATTTGGTCCCACCAAACACGTCCCACGATGTATTTTATTTTCTTGTCAACCCCATTAGCATTTTTTAGAAGAGATAAAAGAGAATGTCAATCAAACATTTTTTTTGGAAAGCGGTTCAAACTCATGTTTTGTGGGCGTGACGGGAATTGAACCCGTCCGTCCTGCACTGAAGTCCGAGACGCTTCAGGCTAGCAACACACTTTGTCCTGAATCTTCCTCTGTTAATCCTTTTCTCTATATATCATCATCACTTGCCACAATCATTTCAACCTCATCATCCTCTCTGTCTTCTTCCAAGGAACCCTGAACATTTGTATTACTTGTTGAAGATTGATGACTCTCTTTTCAAAATATGGCCAGCTCATCTAATTCTTCTATATTTCACCCATTAAATCTGGATGCTTATAAAGTTTTCTTGGGTCTCTGTTGTGTCTTCTCCGCTTTGCTTCCTCCTAGAATCCTATTTTCTAATGCAATCCTTTTCTCCATTTATCCTGTCGTCCTTGTTTTAATGTTTGTTGATTTAGTCAATCTTTCAATATGGTAAAGAAAGAGAGTATATGGTATAATTAATCTAACAACTGCTGTGTCTAGGTACGCGGAGAGACAAGAGGTAGCCAGAAGGTTACAACAGGAGCCAGTGCTGAACCCAACCTCCGTCACACCCCGTGCTCCACCCCCCGTCAAGGATCTCACCATGTCACTCATGGAGAACAACTTGAAGCAGATCTCACTGGCGCCTGCCCCCACCAACCCCGCTCAGGGGTGGTCTATGCCAGTCGCCCCCGCAGTAGCACCTGTTGCCCCCGCTGCACCTGTACCACCTGCCAACGCATGGACCAATCAGAGTTGGAACCCCCCGGCAGCAGCCCCCGCGTGGCAGGCTCCCCCTGCTCTACAAGCTCCTCCCGCTCTACAAGCTCCCCCTCGACAAGCTCCCCCCGCTCAGTTTCGCCCCACCTTCCCTGCTCCACAGTTCCAACTGGCCAACAAGGTTCCGATGAACAGCATGGCCCCGCAGTCTTTCCCGATGATGAACGGAATGAAACCCGCTCAACCTACCAAGCAACTCTCTGCTACAGAAATCAACGATTTCCTCAGTTAATATTTTATAAAAAATTATAAACACTGGTTTTGTTCGATTACGTGGAGTGTCGTGTTATGATGGATGCTAGTAACGGATTGGTTCGTGTTGTGTAACATTTCATTCCTGTTAACCAAAATGTTGATACATAGTGTTTTTGTATGTATATAAGAGTCTTTTTCTGGTCACTGTGCTTTTGTAGAGCATAAATGCTGCTTTTGCACTGAGACATGTCGCTGTATAATTTTTGAACTTTGCCATAGTAATATTTTGCTGAATTAAACATTTACCTAGATATTTTAGCACATTTTATAGGTTTGAAATTGGCAATTACGACTTAAAAAGCACAAATTATTTATTTTAAAATATTTTAGCTTTTAGCATTTTTAATTGATATATTTTAGCTATTTACATACACACAGTTTATTGTACATCTTAGTTTTATTTTTCATGGCTTAGTCACATTATAAGTTTAAGTCTTCTGAGACAATTCCTAGGAATTTATGAGAGATAAAAAATTGAGATTACAATTAATAAAGAATAGGTACTTAACAGTACCTATCATTTATACCTTATGACTAAATTGATGTTGTATTTAGTTTAATTTAAATGTTGTACATAAAATATTATGAAACTTTCATTGTTGTTTGCTAGAATAAATATAATGACATGAGTTTAGGCCCAGATAGCTTTTTGTATGGAAAATTTGCTATAAATGTTAAGTGATATCCAAAATTGAATGTCAAACTGTATTTTTGGTCACTCAGTAGAGTCTTGGTCACACAACCTAAACCAGTTGCTACAAGATTGGATAAGTCGAATGATTAGATAACTTGGAGAATTAAAATCCACTATCAATTGATTCTTGATACCAATTTTTAATACGTCAGGAGTCTATGCCAATACCTAAACCGAACACATCTGCTAAAGATAAAAAATTTCACGCTTTTGCAACAATTGACCCCGAGACTGGAGGAAACGATGATGATGTCTAAAAAATACTGTTGTAGATAAGAATTTTGCCGTGATCAAGGGTGACGAGGGTTTCTACAAGGCTACGGGAGATATTCTTGATTTTGCCGCAAAAATGAAGGAGGATGATGTTTCCGTTACCGATGGAGATGTTCAACATTTTGTCCTCCATAGCGGGAGACGATGGGGATCGTTTCCTTACCGCTGAGAGATATTCAGGATTCTGCCGCAATCGTGGTAGACAGTAAATGTTTCCGGTTGAAATTTGCCTAGTTAAAATTTTAATTAGACTTTCTTCTTTAATTTTTGATTTACTTAAAAAAAAACAATCAACCAAATTTACTTTGTGTAAATGACAGGAGATGGTGTAGTAAAACCAATCCATAAAAATTTTTGTAGGATTTAAAAAAAGTGGTATCGTTATCAAGAGTTGATTTATCAGATACTGTTTGTACTTGAGGGTCAAAATAAAAAAAAACATCTAATAACCAAAGATAAGGTTATTGAGATTCTACTGTAGTGTAAAAATATTGAGAGTGTTCTGACGGTTGTGTGTCTTAAACAATATCAATATCATATTTATAGTGTTTATATCAGCCTTTTCACACGTTGTCACATCACTTTGTCATTTTAGTACTGTAAGCAAATGAATCGCATATCAACTAGTTTGAAATTGTGAAAATGCTCTTTTGAAAATCAAGCAGTTTAAGTAAGGCTTCGCTCTTTACTGTATCAAAATTTGTAAATGTGCAATGATGAAACTTAATGTAGATCTTTAGTATTTACACAATATTAAAGATTACGCAATTATTTTGAAGTATTAGAATACATTTTCATAAGGTACTAAAATTCAAAACATAAGTTATATTCAGTTTCAAACCTCACAAAAAGATAAGAAATGTGTTTAAAATTTTCAATCTGCTAATAATAAATAATATTCATATTTCATAACCTACCAAAGGAGAAGACTCATTACTTTACATATTATTTTACCTCATAGAAGAGTTAGAGCGGAGCCTTGAGTTAAATTTTAATTTTAAAATTACAAATAGGTTTTTAAAATCATACACATTCCTTATTGCATGCTTAAAGTTGTGATTCCAGCTTTTTATAGAAAACCTAACAGTATTAGTCTTCAGCTAGTGAACGTAATTGTAAGCATTGACGTATGTTGTGAAATCTTCCGCCCATTGTTATAACTTATTTTATATTATTGATTTTATTGTTTGTAAATTACTATTTTATCTATTCTCAGTGTATTTATGTAGTATGTCATATCATAGCGGTATTTCAATATTTTTTTGTGAAAAAACATAGTTTGACTTAATTTAAAGAGGCTTTTTTTATTTTGGGAAGTATGAAATAACCACATAAATTGCTATTATCTTTGTGTTTAACAACCACAAAGTACCAGGGAAACTTGTTTATGGGAAGACCTTATGTTGTTTCAGCTCTAGTATGTTGTGCCAGAAATATACTCTTGAGCAAGGAAGTGCCTGCACGTTGAGCTTTGTGTGTAAATTCCTATCATACAGAACATATGGTCCTCCTCCACCGTGAGCATTGTAGTACATGAGTGGGAGTTATAGTTCATGCTCCTCCTAAATTTAATGATACTAGTTAATGCTAAATTACCAAACCGTTTATATTGATTAATTTATTTACTACCCCTTAAAATAAAGACTGGGACGGGTGGCGTCGTCCTGTAATCCAGCTACTAGGAGGTCACGAGTTGTGGATATTTATAGGAATGCACTCTGGATGCGATGCTCCCTGGTGTAGATTAACGTCTGCACTAGGGAGTACTACGACTATCAGCAGTACTATCCTGACAATTAGACCAATTTGTTACAAGGAAAAATTGTGGTTCAGATTCCACTATAAACTGTAGGTCCCTTAGTTGCCATTAGCTATGGGCTATTAATTAACAGCTGTGTCTAAGGAACATGTCTGCCTTAATCACTAACAAGACAACAAGATCGCGCCACTCATCTTACACTCATCCTTCACTCATATTGGGGTTAAAATATGCATATAGTGGCGTCCCCATCTTATAATTGATAAAAAATACAGGGATTTCATCAAATAATTTACAAAATGTTAGCTAAAAATACAAAGAAATTCCTTAGTATGAGTAATTCTTTTACCACTATTATTAAATCTGTTTAACACACTATTTAATTTAGTTACTTAGAAGCCTTTGAATATCGTGTATAAAAAGATTAGTTGTGTTGTGCAGATGTAAAATATAAAACCTATACACTATAAGTGATAAGAATATTTTGTAAATATATATCATTGTTAAATTATTAATAAACTTGAATATTGACATTTTGAATGTTTTGTCTGAGGTAAACCCCTTACTTATTTCTTGGAGGCAAAAAAGCCATTTTCAAGAAAAATACATCTTGAGGAAACAGAAACATAAACACATTTTAGGGAACTCAGTTTCACCTCAGTTGTGAATTTAGAAAATTAATCTTGAACATGTGCCGGAAAAAATCAACTTTTGGAAAACAATGAAAATTCCAGTCATCATTCCCAATAGAAAGTAAAAATTGTGTAACGTTGATGTAAAAAAATCACCATCTCTAAAGCTCTTTTTTGATCAGCTGATTTATTCATCTAAATTTACTTTCAGTTTCCTTTAATTTATGACCATAACGACAAGATCTAGTGCAAGCCACCCAGTCTTGAACTAAAAATGTTAAATTTATATAATCCGTCCAAGACACTTAAAAAAAAATATTTATTCCTCTAGGTCCTAGCCCAGAATTGATCTAGATGTTGCGGCAATATCATTTGTATAAATTCCATTGCTGGGCAAGATTTGAACCTTTGGTATCTTTGTTAAACAAAGTTCCACACTTTACCACAAGACCAGCTTGACACTTTTTTATATTTTTTTGTCCTAGGACGCTAGGCACGAGCCCGGGATGGTTTTGCACATTACTTCAGGCTAGACCTAGGGGTTGCGGCATTATCACTTAGATAATATCCATTGGTGATTTGGCGGGATTGTAACCCTGGACCTCTTGGACCGAAGTCCCTCGCTCTAACCACTAGACCAGCTCGCCCCCCCCCCTTCCCAAGACACTAGCATTGAGATATGTACTAATCCAACCCTAACTAGAAATAAACAGACGTGAGTTGTACAATTTTAATACAAACTCTTGACACAAGAGGTTCTGCTCCAGTTACGAGTGGTAGGCTTGCTGCGGATGTCTTCTTTGAACTGCTGCACTCTGCGTAATGTCTGCCGCAGCTGCACTGACGTAGTGCTTCGGTACGCTTCCAGACTAGCGCCTCTCCCATACTCTGCCCTAGACTTCTCCCCCAGTTCCTTCACCTATGGATAACAATACAATATTGATATATAATTAGTTGTCTACAATGTGGCTTCACTTTAACTAATTTTCAACTCACTCAAACTTATTTATATTATTAAATTAATCTCAATAAAGAAATTTATTGATTTATTTTGTTCACCTGAATGAACTTACAAAACTGCTAATTTCACAACAATTTACTTAGTGTGTAATATGTTCTGAATGACAAATGAATTAACAAAATTTAGATAGGAATTTATCTGAATTCAATTACAATCTACAGGAAATGTTCGGTATGTAGATTATCAATTCGAGAATGTATATGTAACTAAACAATTAAACATTAGCTAGACCTAAAGAATATTTGGATAAATATTATTGATTGAAAACTGCTTGTTAATACAATAGCAAGATACAATAGTAATGGATATCACAACAAGAATAGGGGTATACAAATAAATTACTGTTCTCAAATTTAGGGAGGTGCTTCATCATTAAGTTCACAGTTGTTCAACCCTATAAATCAATTTTACAATGTGTCCCTATCATTTGAATCTTGCTTTGTGATTTATGGGACTAATCAAGTTGAATTATGAACCAGCAGAAGTTACATTGTGAAGATATGTAATGTGTTGTTAACTTTGAACAAAATATAGTTTCACAGTGAAGCTGATACCTACGTAGAAAATCTTTTACAATCACGACTAGGTCATCCTGAGTAATTTATAAAAAACACATTTTATGTGAAATGATCTAACAAATGAACATTAGTATTCTTAATTGATTTAAAAAACAAACCTCATTAATCCTTGCTATTATTTTTCTGATCTCCTCCTCTTTAGTTTCCAGATACGCCTCCAGTTGTTGCAGTTCTTCTTTTGAAGACTCAGGATCTGATAGTAACCTGTCATACTTGCTGAAACATTCGATCACAAATTATTTGAATCCTAATCCTAGCATGGTGGTATTTAAAAATTAACAGACCGTTTGTCACCGACAGGTTAAATACAAGCTCATATCGTAAGATGTTATTATTCAGTTTTGAGTTTAGGTTACCAAGAAGGTGTTAATTTGTGTTTTGGATCGGTTTGTGGCAGATATCCTTTGAGAATCTTACATCAGAAATCAAATAATACTAACAGTGCTACAATAATAACTATAATTGTGGGCTTCTGGGATCGATATAAAACTATAGGTTTATTTCCTAGTGTTTTGGAAATAACCATATTCCCCAGTAGGGACTGCGGATTGATGGCTATAGCCCAAACTTTTAGAGCGAAATGCAAAATGTAAAGGAAGTAAATTGAGAAAGTTTCTACGAGCACTGAAAACCTAAATTTTACCTGAGACCTGAAAATGGGGAGGTCCCCTATTAATCTGCCTAGCTCTCTGTCAGCTGTTGATTTTTTTTAAATTCATCAAACACAACAACCTTTGTTTCTTGTGTTGTAGATTACTACACTAAGGTTATGTTGAACAGGCTAACTGCAATCACTCCTTTAAACAATACAGTAACTGAGAATGTTCACTTACTTGTTTAAATCTTCAAACTCCTGGGTGAATGCAATGAGGGCTTTCCTCAGCTCGCCAGTGTACGACTCTCCTTGATCCACTGGATCAGTCGGTCCCTCCGTCGCGTCTTCCCCCAGGAAGATCTGCTGCAGCACTTTCTTGTAGCTGAGAGTTCCCTGGGGAACACAAGAACATCTGGGTCGACAAAAGTTCGGGTCCAAGTTAGCCTGGACACAATCCGGATGGTCTTCCCACCTAGCGCCATCTTCCATTTCCCGACTCGTCTCCGGAATATCATAAAGACCGTCATGCATCAACGCTGGACACTGGTGCGGCTTTTTACTTTTCGTCGAAAACTTAGACAAAACTGTCAACGGCCGTTCGCTATCCTTATCGCTCTCTTTGCATAGATTTTGGATCTCGATAGTTTGCGGGATGTTGTTTTTGATCAGTGACAACGCCTCTTGAATATTTACCCAGAGGTTGTGACTTTTGTTCGTCGACTGGCCGATGACGAAAGGAAGATAAGTGTGTTGATAATGGCCGTTTAGAAACCTCTCCACCTCTTTAGATTTGGAAGAGTGGGTCGGAAGAGTGTAATGGAACTGGTTTGGGTGTTCCAGTTCGTTTCCGTAATCACTCATATCGTTGTATTCTGTTTTGTAACTTTGGTGAACATCGTTCTTCAGTGTAACTGGTTTGTTTAGATTTTTTTCTTCCGATACTTTTTTTGTTATATTTTGATCTTTTCCCACATCAGCAATTTTTGATGGTTTGTTCAATGACGTGCTTTGTTTTTCACCTTGTGTTTCTGAAGGGAGATCAGAAGTTTTAGCTACAAGTTCAATTGCATCTGGAATCGCATGGAGGACGGTAAAGTCTTCCTTTTTGCTAACCTCTACATCGTTAACATTCAAAGTTTTATGACTGTTTATGTTGTCCCTTGGATTATGATAAGAATGTGTTAGGTTCTTGTTTTTCAATAGACCATTTTGACTGTCCTTATAGGTCTTAACATTATTCTTCTGAGTTTCATAACTTTTATTCCTGTAAGAAGACAGATTTTTGCTCGGTTTCAAATTTTCCTCATCAATTTGTTTATTTGCAAATTTTCTTTTCAAACTTGGGTTTTTTATTGGTTTTACACTGTTAATTTTCTGTTTATTCTTTCTTTTTGTACTTAGCCTACTCGATTTCTCTATTGGTACTGAATCCCCCTCACTGAAATTCATGTCTAAATCATTTGTGATTTTGTATTTGATTTTTGATTTTCTCGACATAGCTACACTACTTGCTTTGCTCGAAATTTTATTGACACTAGATTGTTTTCTTGATACAATTTTACTCATTGACTTTGAGCCAATAGTTGAATCGGAATTTAGTTTCTTCATCTTGTCCCCACATCCATAGATATTCATCAATTCTTTCATTTTATTGTCCTTCTGCGTAATTTCTTGTTTGGCCGATTTTCTTTTTCCTGTTTCTACTTTCTTTTCTTTTAGTTTTAACTGTTTTGGTTTTTTGTCCTTCTTTTCTTTTGGTTTTGCGTAGTCGTTTGTATTGATGTTTTGGTAAATGACTCGAGGCGTTACATTGGGACTGTAATTTATTCCTAGATCTTGACTAAAAATGTTCAGTATCTCTTCCGGCGACGGTTCAACATGTTTTGGGGATGAAGACATCTGTTTAGGGGATTGAGAGAATTGTTGATTCACCGATTGACTCCGTGGAGAAAACGTTTCAGTTTTTGTATTCAAAACTCTTTGCATTTCTTCAAATGTGCTTTTAACCGGATCTTGTAGAAAACAACGATCAATAGACTCCTTCGACATTTTGGTATCAGTGAAGGGAAGAGCATCGTAAAACTGTTGGTTTTCATCTTGATTCAAGTGACTCCTTGGCGTGTACATATTTTTAACTTCTTTTGATTTACGAGAATTTGAAGTTTCAAGGCGTTTTTCCGGATCCTCAGTTTTTGGGTCCTATAAATTACAAATTAAGCAATAATTTTTTATGAATGGCATTGTTTAACATCATAATGATGACTACAACAATGTTAACATTGGAATTTTAATTTACTGTATTTTTCTTTTTGGGTGTAAATAATTTTGGAAATACTAAAACGATTCTGTAAATCTCTAACTATTATATACAGAAGATTCTAAAATCATAAACACATAAACAACAAATTAGTATTTAATTAATAATTGTTGTTCCTATAATTTTGTCTTTAAATCACAAACTGTTGGCTATCGGTTTAACAGATTTAGGCAAACACACCACATACCATTCACATAATTGCTAAACTGATATTTTCTTTGAACTTAACAGAAAAATAAAATAAATCAATAGTTAATCATTCATTTTGCTGTAAAATTTCAGAGGTTATTTAACACACTAATTTATTTCTGTATTACTTCTATTTATTGATTGTCGTCTTACGTGGAGGGAGACTATGGGATCATCGATGACGTATGGCTGGTCAATTCCCAAATCAAGATCTTTAGTGTTGAATAACGCCAGGGCATTCTGAATTGATTGCTCAATGTCTGCAACAAAAAAATAATCAATGAATATAATTTATATACCAATTCTTAGCATGAATACAATGGGGAGTCCTAAATTTGAAAATTAACTTTTTAAGATCCTAAAAAATTTAACTGATCGAAATAAAATATCTTAAACTATTTTCAAAGTTCACAGAACTCACTCACAAACTAAAAAGAAGCAAGAATACCTAAATGTTGAAAATCCCATCACGAGACTAAAAGTGCAAGTAACCAGTGAAAAGGTGTAAGCGTATCTAATACTTTAGGTGAACTCACAATGGAAAGTGCTCTATTGTTGGCAAAGAAGGGGAGATTTTGCTTTTGTATTTCAAAACTTTTCCTTTTCACTTACTGAACTGAAGGTGTAAGTAATTAAAATACATGTTTTAGCCCCTGAGCTGTATAATAACTAAAAATAGGCTTTACCTTCGTCACTGCAGCTCAAATTCTTGTGGTGTAACTATGTTACGGCCGTTTCGGCATTATAATGCCATCGTCAGACTACAAAAACTCGGCTGAAGTAGCGTCGTTGAAGTTTAAACACGTAACACATACGAACAATTATGTTCGTACAATATATTGTTCGTATGTGTTACGTGTTTAAACTTCAACGACGCTACTTCAGCCGAGTTTGTGTTTTTGTAGTCTGACGATGGCATTATAATGCCGAAACGGCCGTAACATAGTTACACCACAAGAATTTGAGCTGCAGTGACGAAGGTAAAGCCTATTTTTAGTGTAAGTAATATTGAGGTGTACAAGGAATGGATAAAATGCAGCAAATAATTTGCAAACTTGTACCACTAAAAGTTATGATAGTCTATTTTTTTGCTTAGAACGCTAGGCACAAGCCTGGGATTGTTTTTCACTTTAATTCTGCATTATCACTTAGATAAAATTCATTGGTGATTTGGCGGGATTAGAACCCGGGAACCGAAGTCCCGCATTCTAACCACTAGACCAGTTCGTTCCCTGATATGTTGAAATTGCTAGTAGTGCTGATGAATATGTACAAAGTTGTGTTACAAAATATTTTGACACTTTTTAAACTGTAAAAAGGTTATTCAATAAATGAAAATTGTTATATATTTTTAACAGTACAAATTTCTTGAGTAAGATTGCATTTAAAAACTTAGATTAACAGAATAATAAGGGAGAATTTTTAAAGTCTATCATCAGTGTAATATGCCCTTGTTATTAATTAGTTATTCCAATGACTGAATACTGAACTGTACTTAGTTTATTATTATGGTTTATATTTGTTGTCAATCGATTTAGTTATTTTAAAGATCCCTTGTACAGTGTGCACTGTTGATGCTTCTGGTAGTTATTAAAATCATCTTTGCAGACATTTACTTTATATCTATAAAGAAGATAGTGTAGATATAAAGTCAATGATATTATGAAGCAGTATCCCAGCATTTAACAAGTGTTTAAATAAATTTGAAATTAGCATTTGTGGCGATAGCCTTAGATTTTTTTGTATATTTGCCAATTTATTTCTGTTTAAACTGAATTCTCATATGATTTTTTATTTCTATTGATTTAGTTTAATTTATTTTTGTTCTAAAAAAGAAATGAGAATTTGATTATGTATTTATGTAAGTAATGGTCTACACCCTGATCATGTTAACCATGCTATGCCAATCTTTTGTTACATAGCATCAAATCAGTCGCCTGATGAATGACTAATTACATCTAAGTCTGCTTGTAATCAAACCGCAACCTCCATATTTGAAGGCAAACACTATAATTAAATGAATTACAGCCTCTGTTCGCACATACCACAAGCATCAAAAACTGCAATGCTATCGAATAACAACCCCCCAATCGTTACCACAAAACAGCTAATCAAGATCAAAAGGGGTACAAATTTCAAAATTAGTCACAATTGGCACAAGGGTGTGTATAACCCCAATGTTTTGATTGCGGGGGGGGGGTTGACCGCAATTGGAACAGCGGTGCTAGACCGGATACAGATCCGTACTCGCGATATCCGGTGCGCCGTTGGGAGACAGGGTGGTTGCCATGGCAACGGACAGGTAGGCGCAACAATTTATGACCCCAAGATAACGCGGGGTCGCCCCTAAGCAGATTGGGAACGAATTTCCATTCTTTCCCGAATGAAAACACCTCGGGAATGTTTTCGTCTTTGAATTGTAAATTTTCGGTTCCTCGGAAAACACGGGTAAAACGTGCAACCACAAAGACTTGTTTTGACAAAAGTCGGAGGACGTTACTGTGGTTTGGATATTTGCGAAAACAAAGTTGAAATAAAATAATATATATATAAAATATATATAGTGTGGTGATTAATGTAGTGGAAAACATACTAATAAAATCGCTGTTTTTTCTAAGTTGTTTTTGGTTACGTTTTTGTAGAAAATTCGTTCAACGAGATCAGGACAAGACGAGTAAATAAAAATGAGCGATTGTAAATGTTTAAAACATGTTCTAAACTATAAAACGTGTTGGCCTGTTTCTTTATTTTCCCATGCCGAGTCTGTATTGAAATTGCAATCTTATTACGTGGTTAACAAAAGAAAAAAACATTTCAGCTATAATTTGAATAATGAACTCAAACCGGTGTAAAAAAACGCACACTTAACACTACGTAGCATGAAATTAATACAGTGTCTCCAAAAACAGTGTTCTTGCATTTTAACAGATTAATTTCAGCAGTGAACGAAGCATGGTAATAAACTATTTAACTTACAGTTCGGTTGTGCAAAGCTAACATAAGGAATTACCTTTAAATAAACAATTATCCAATTATTTCACCACTTTTAAGAAACAAATCACAAATAGTTCCAAGCAATGATCTTAAACATATTTCTTATCCATAAAATTCATCACTTACAAAATGGTAAAACTGTTAAATACAGTAGACCCTACTAGCAGAGTATCCGTCTTTCGTACTGGGTTGGCATAGGCCTATAAGTATAAAAAGCTTATTGCAGTTATGGGAGAGGACAAAGTTTAAGAAAAATCGGTTCTTTTTAATTCATACGCTATGCCACATCCACCACAGACATAATGCTCTACCACTGCGCCTAAACCATAGAAAAAAGTAAAGTTCTCGTTGTGGACCACAGCATCTGTTGCTAGTTGGTTCAAATAGCGCTTTTCATAAATGTAGTAAATGGCACCTATAAGGTGTATTTTTATTGATGCTGTATGTTAATTAGTTTGGTATGAAATAAAGAAATTTGCAATATTCAATAAAAATATATCCATAAACAAGAAAACTACAACAGTTTTGTTTTTATCCATTAACATAACGTGGGAATTTTATTTACACTTTTAGGAATTTTCTGCGTCACCATCAGGCATACAACAATGCTTCCGTATACTAAATTATTTGTTTTTAAGCTCTACGGTTTAGAATTAAATTGAGAATTTTATGTTTGCACAATTTGCACCCCATTAAACCCATCATAAGCCCCCGTTCCCATAGCCTGATCGTGCCGGTTCGCGAGCTCGTTCTAATAAACGTAGGTTTACACGTTTGTGACAAATTTAATCAAAATCGGATTATTTTTTCTCGAGTTATCAACGGCCAACGGGCCGTGAATTTGAACGATTGGTATTTTTGCTGTCTGGGGACCTCAAAACGAAAAAGTAAATCGGTCCCGAGCCCAGATCTTACCATGAGGCCTATGGTAATAGCTTATTTCCTGTGGAAAATTCCCTAAAAGCATTGACTTTATATCAGCTACACGTGTAGATAAAGTCCGGAGAGCACAACAGTTCGTCCAATCGCCGCTAGATGTCACCACCCAAAGTGCGGCGAGTTCGTCTATTCACCGCTAGATGTCAGTGAAACAAATACATCTTAACCCATTGAGGTTAATTTATTTATTAATATTATTAAGTTACGAAAAGAAATCAAACTTTACCTAAAAGAAAGACTGCCATTTATTAATTGTGAAAAAAGGACAAAATTGCGATTTAAAGCCGCGGTAGTTTAGTATGAGTCCTCCGTGTCAGTTGATACTCGCAGGGAGTTTTGAGTAGCTGGAACATGACTAGCTTCTAACATCTTCATTTGTCTTAACTTGTGGATGATATACGAGGCAATCTTTAAAGTTTTTCATAAATTGTTTGAGAAGCCGAGAGTCGTGTCTCTTACCTGAGACCGATGATTGGCTTATAATTTAATAACTACTTCTAGATTAATTTCGTACACTCGTTGATTATGAATAGTCAGGCATCAATATCAAACTATCGATCGATGGGCAAATCCTACGGGATACCATGTATTGAAACCGAATGGTGTTGGGCTGGATCTGGATTTAATGCAACTCAATCACGTTAAATTTATTGTAAGCAAACTCGGGTGAAAACTATCCGATTTTATGACATTGAGAACCAACGTGTAAACCTACTATTGTGGAACCAGCATAATAAATATATTTATTTCACTTTTTACATAACGCAGTTTTCATTCATAACCATCAAATTTCCGTATATTTAACAAACATCAATATCAGTATAAAAAAAACAAATATTAATTTGGCCTATCATATTAAAAATAACTCTTACGCGAAGGAAACATGGTGATAACAGTACGGAGTTCAAATTTGAAAAAAATAACGTCTAAAACATAAATCTTTACTAGTTAAGTACCTATTAATTTAATTTTCAGTCTTGTGTTATTTTTAGAATGTTTTTGAATAACTTGTTTTGTCAATGTTTACAGTTAGTAAAACATGTCTCACACTGCTTACACTTAACAAAACTTCTCATCATTTGCGATGTAAAGATGAAAAAAATTTAAAAAAGCATTAGTAGCCTAAATGTAAAAAGTTATTAATTAAATAAGAACGCCTTCGCAAAGGAAACGCAACAGCAGTCTGTTCTTGTATTGTACATTGCATTGACTTTCTGCAGGCGTTTTTAACAGTTTTTTCATAATCTCGTCTCGAAAAAATCTCGATCAAAATAAAATCTTGTCTTCGTTATAAACGTGTAAACCTACATTTATTCAAAGGAGTTCACGAACTAGTGTGATCGGCTTATGGGGTAAATATTGGGTTTCTAATTTTTTATCCTAAAAACTTTAGTAATTTATTCCCAAAACATTTTGTAGAGCTTAAAAACAAATAATTTTATATATTGAAGCGTTGTAATGCGCCAAATGGTTAAGAGGAAAATAATTAAAAAAAAAACTACCAAAATTTAATATCAATTGTTATTCTTGTAAAGAATAAACTTGTTGTTGTTTGCTTGTTTATGAAAATATTTTGATCAAATTTGGAAAATTTATCTATTTCACACTAGACTATTAACATTTCACAAAAACTTAATTACATTCCCTGTAGCAGCAACCATACGTACTAGTTCAATTGATGTTTCTTAAATACGAAATAAATAATATGCTATCTTATAAAAATAATTTTTAGTGACACTCCAACCAGGCAAATGGAAGTTCTTTTTGTCTGCAGGTTTGCTGTGGCGGGGGTATTAATTACAACTCAAACTCGCTAGTGTAAATCAGCTTTTAAGATTTACATAAGCTTTTACTGGGGACATAAAAATAAAAAAAAATAAATCGGCCCCGGGCCTAGGTCTTACCGTGCCACCTACGGTAATAGTAACTTCCTTTTAGGACAATTCGCTAATATTTTATAAGGGAAAATCACAAAAGTTGCAATAACCAATCCGTAATTGTTACAGCAATAGGGGGTTGCACTATTTTGTTAAGAATTATAAGGACCATAACAAATTACAGTAGTTTTTTTTTTCAAATATGAATATAATATATATAATATATAATATAAGGTTAACATCGGAAACGAGCAACTGGGGCAGAGCCGGAAAGGATTTTTGAGATAAGAATATGTCTATATGTTAATCGGGAATGTGAGCTATCATACCAATTTTCAACCCTGTCGGTTTAGTATTTTCCTCATTTACTTGTCACAAAAACATCCATACATCCAAACTTTCTCACGTATAATATTAGTGGAATATTCCTACCACATATTTGTTCGTTTGGTATTTAACAAAAAAAAAAAAAATAAAATAAAATAAAATACCCCCGCCGCAGCAAACCTGCCGACTAAGCGAATTTCCATTTGTCTGAATTGATTTTCAGTTAAATATATTTTAATAACATTAGGCTTAACGAGTACCTAGGTTTGCTGCTACAAGGAAACTAATAAAGTGTGTTTTTGAGTAAAATATTGATAGCTTAGTACAAAATAAATAAATTTGCCAAGTTTGATCAAAATATATCCATAAACAAGCAAACTACAACATTTGACAATATTCTCCATAAGAATAACATGGGAATTTTAAATTTAAATTTTTTTTTTAATTTTCTCCGTTACTAATAATCGAACAAAAATACTTTTATATACTAAATTATTTGTTTTTTTAAGCTCATTAAAAATGTCTAAAGAGAAATCGGGAAATTTTGTGTTTTGAGGGTCAAAAGTGAGAAAACCAATTTTTACCCCATAAAACCCCCCGTAAAGCCCCGTTCCCATGGTCCGATCGTGCTGGTTCGCGAACTCATTCAAGTTTATCCCGCTTTACACCTTTAAACCAAATTTCATCAAAATCGGACAAAAATTACTCAAGTTATCGCGTTCACGGACGTATATATATATAAGTCTATATAAAAATTTGAACGAATGGTGTTTTTGGCCTCTGGGGACATCAAAATGAAAAAGTAAATCAGTCCCGGGTCTAGGTCTTACCGTGCCACCTACGGTAATAGCTACTTCCCTATAGGGAAATTCGCTAAAATTCACAACGCTGAATGTATCACTGTAACAATTATTAAAACATCCCAGTACGAATGCTAAAGTTGTACGGGCTGCTCTTTAATGTATTCCAAAAACACCATAGGGTTGCTGTAACGGGGGAACGGTTAATTACAGTACTACTGATATAGGCGTTGAATTGATTGAAAAGTAAGCCTGGGGCACCTTGGTGGGGGGAGCGATAAAATTATCCCCGGGGATGTCAGTTCAAAGGGGAAGATCCCTGAACAATCCCATGGGAAAGACATGTGAACCAACATTGAGCATGGACAGATGCCACCGCTCCACACTATGTGCATTTGTAGGGTACACCCTGAATTTTTATTTTCTCCCCCTATACATAGTATATGGAGAAATTTTCGAGTTATATAGGTAGTTTTTTGTGGAAATGTCTGTTTTGGGTCCTTCTGAACCCAAAATAAGTGGTTTTCAAAGTGATGTTCTGTGTGTACTGTTTAAACCTACAGAGTTACAGACCATACCTGTGGGATGATGTTGATGAAATTAGCTATGTAGGTACCAATCCATAGTAGCTCCAGCTTTTTTCATTTTTTTTTAATTTAGATTTTTTACAGTGATTTTTCCATAACACCCAGAAAAATGGATTAAAAAAAACTGGCTCCAAATATTTTGCCCTTGTAACTCTCAACAAAACGGCATAACCCTAATTGCTGTAAATAGTACGGTTCAAAAATTATTGCAACTCTATCCCGTAAAAATGCTAGTAGCTCCCACCGCTATTGGGAGAAAGTATGTGTCCGGTTGCTGATACCGATTATTTATCCTTTCAACGGAATAGCCTTGAACTCACATTGTACCCCCATTAAGGAACAATGATCAATATGTAGCTAGTACCATTCAACGAGGGAACAAAAGTGAATAACATTCACCTTCAAATAACTAATATATGAGAACAGAAACGGTGAATATAAAGATAAATAAATTACGTCACAGGTCCGAATGTCTTTAGCCGTATCATCTGGTTCGGACGTATTTTGACAGTCGCATTTAAATAAAGTAACGTCATTTGTTTATTTGTATAGGCCCCTAATCCATACCGGTTCTTTTCTAACAGTGGTGTCTCATCCTAAATGAGTGAAGACGTTGCACAGTCTATGTAAATACCCCCGCCGCAGCAAACCTGCAGACTTAGCGAATTTCCATTTGCCTGATTGGATTTAAACTAAATGTCTCCTTAAAAATATCACATTTTTATTCCCAATTTAAACAGAATTAGTTTAATGAGTTCTTAGATTTGCTGCAACAGGGAGGGTAAAAAAGTTTTTTTAAATGTTAAATATTAAAAGATACTGTGGTTTAGTAAGAAATTAATGTATTCTCCAAATTTGATCAAAATATGTTCATAAACAAGCAAACAACAACAGTTGACTTATTCTCCATAAGAATAACATGGGAGTTTTAAAATTATAATGTTTATGAATTTTCTCCGTAACAATTAGGCGCATAATAACGCTTCAATATACTAAATTATTTGTTTTTTAAGCTCTACAAAAAGGTTTGAAAAGAAATTGTGAAATTTTGTGTTTTTAGGGTCAAAAATGGGAAAACACTATTTTTACCCCATAAAACCCCCCATAAACCCCCGTTCCCATAGTCCGATCATGCTGGTTCGCGAACTCATTCAAGTTTATCCCGCCTTACATCTTCAAACAAAATTTTATCAAAATCGGACAAAAATTACTCAAGTTATCGTGCGGATGGACACATATATATACCCTATATATAGATATATAAAAATTTGAACGAATGGTGTTTTTGGCCTCTAGGGACATCAAAATGAAAAAAGTAAATCGGTCCCGGGCTTAGGTCTTACCATGAGACCTACGTTAATAGCTACTTCCCTATAGGGAAATTCGCTAAAACAATTAAATTAGACAAACATAAAGTCTAAATATGCTTCGATTTGCTAGGTAATGTCATAGATTTCGAACAACGAAAGTACAATGTCCCATTGTAAAGTGTAGCCTATTTTAATGCATGTTCATGTTTGAGAACTTTTGACTGCGCTGATACGGTAGATTTTGAAACATGATTTATTATAGATTTATAATCACAATGCCTTATTGTAGATCATAAAACGGTAACGTTTAGGTTACCTGTGAGTCGTTTTGTTGTCAATAATTAGTTTTTCATTATTTATTTATTTTTAAATTATTCTGGCAACTCAAATTATCTCTAATTTATTATAAACAATCTAGTATTATAGCGAAAAGGTTAAGGAAGATTTGTGACACTTATTAATCAACATTGTACGAAATGTGAATAGAAAGACTATAATAACAACAGTTTAAATATTTATCCAAATTAATACTGTTCACTGTAAGATGGTATGTACACAATTTATATTTTCCCTAACCTAAGTAAACAGGAAGTTTGCCAAAAACTTGGCAACAATTTACTAAGGCCACACAGACACAGGTTTATAATTAAAGGTCACGGCCGTACAGTGTTTTTAATTGAACCGAAGTTCGTAGGTTGCCTTTAATAGCTGGGTGCAATATGGATTCCCGTACAGTAGCTTTTTACCGAATAACAGTTTGCTCGAACAAATAATGCATTAAAATACTAAGACTTTGATACCATTTCGTACATATAGATACAAAAACTACTACTTGTAAAGACCCATGATTAATTATCCAGGCATACATGTTTAATATTACTTAAAAACGAGAATTCTTCCTTTGTTGAGGTTGAAGGTATATTTTAACATAGCATTTGCCAACCCAATGGGCCAGTGCGTCGAATTAATCAAGAAAAACAGGGCTCAAGCTACAGTACACTATGTGCTGTATGGTACAATACAAGAATTGACTGGTCAATTGTTAATGCACTAGGAACGAACCCACGACATCGTTGCCTCGGTTCTCGGTACCATTGACAACTCACGAAAAGTTATTATCTTTATTTTAATTATTTATGAAATATCAGTAGCCTATATGAAATAGTATGTGTATTACGGTGTGTTAAATATACCAGGATTGCATCAAAGTAGTACCTTAAATTAACGAAGTACCTTAAATAAGATATATTTACCAGATAAAACTTTGCTTCTTTCTGGGGACATCGGAAGATCCATCACCTCAACTGCGAATTTACTTTTCTCTACAATCCGACAAGTCTGTGAAAAACTCGATTTAAAACACGTATTTCATTTTAAGGGTTCAATAACTAGTTTATAATTTGAAAGTTTCTGGTTGAAAATGGCATAAGTTACACGATTTACTGAAAATTAACCTATTTTTAAAATTGTTAAATGAACATACTAGAAAATAATTATTGAATCAGCTGTTTTGTTTATTTTGTAGATCCTGTTAGGAGTATGTTTTATCTGTGTGCTATTAGTTGAGATGTTTAGTTTTGCATCGATTTTGGATTATATTTGTTGATTAAAGATTAAAGTAAGATCGATTATAGTCGTAGTTTAAACATTGGCATTGAATATTCTTGGTATATTTACTTATAAATTTATGAGCGTATTGAAAGTGTAGATAATTCAATGCCTCTTTTATGTTTGGTTAATGTTAGTTGGTGTAAATTCATCATTTTATTTCATGTTTCTGGTTAAGTTTTTCTGAATGTGATTTGCTCTACCGTTTAGTTTTAATACCTCAAATAGCAATTTACAAATATAAAATGTTCTGTGTGATCTTAATTATTTGAAACTAAGTAATTTCACAAACGACGTGGTAGTGAGCTGGCTTGGTGGTAGAGCACAGGACTTTGGAGGCCGAGGTATCGGGTTCAAATCCCGCCAATCACCAATTGATTTTGTACCTGATAATACCGTGACCCTCTAGGACTAGCCTGAAGTAATGTGGAAAACAGCTCTAGGTTAAAACCTAGCGTCCTAGGATGTGACATAAATTGTAATCAGACCAATATAGAATCGGTAACAATGTGTTATACTGCTAAAAAGTGTAAGGTAACTCGGTGGATCCAAAATCAAAGCCTAAAATTCAAGTTTTTGATTTAAACTAGTATTGTGTGTATGTCTTGTCATGTCTGTGTAAAATAAAAACACGAATCAAATGTTTAAAACATAAATATTAAACATTGAAAATTGTTTTTCTGTACTAGGGGAACCATGATTAAATTCCCTTCGAAATTATTTTTTTTCAAGGGTAAGTTTTTTTTAATCACGCACAGGCTACCAACATTATCAAGACTGAAAACTCAAACATAAACAAATATCACCCTGCTTACAAAATTAAAATATCGCACACCTTATTTACCTTCTCTCTTATTGGACTTTATGCGAAAAGTTTGCGGAACTAACACATTGCGGAACATAAACAATAACACAGACAAACATTGCCGTAGGGAGTGTACGTGTGTGTTAGTGTGTGACTATTGACGGGTGCGCGCGCCGTCTACCGGCGCCGTTGCCGCCGTTCCGTTTGCCAGTCGTGTGCCGGTCGGCCAGCCGTTGACGTACCGCGCGGGTGCGGGTGTGTGTGCGTGCGCGTAAAGTGAAGTGTGTACACATACTGAGGAGATAAGTGAGTATTTTGGAATTTCAATTGCATTTTTGAAATTTGTAAAAAAAATAAGATAAATAATCTGAAAGCAAGGTGTAGACGTATGCAGGTAAAGGGTGGTCAATTTGTTGTCATCCCTTACATTTTGTAAAAAATATTCACAGATTTTAAACATATTTCTTACATGTTTACAATACTATACGTGTATAATCCTTTTGACACAAACATGGGGAAAATAAGAAGAACATAATTTAAAAGAAAGGCGTAGATGCATGGAGGTTAAGTGTTTCAAATTGTTTGTGTTAACTCTTACGTGACATTAAATTGTAATAGACAAATATTTTGAATTTTTTTACAAAACTCTTTTTACATGGTGCTAGATTTACAAATTTGTTACTGTTCTAAAAACTTAATCACTCAAACACAAATACTTAAAGGCACACACACATACTATCGTAATTGTTTTTATGAACCAAGAATATTTATTTTTGCCTTTGAGTAAAAAATAAATTTTAGCCTACAACTTAAAATACTGGTAGGGGTTCATATAAATCCTTATTATTCTCTCCCAAACTAAGGTATTCTTCAGGGGACACAGGATGTTGGGGTAACATTCTACTCTTTAAATTCTTGTCAGTTTTTCAGTGTGTTAGTTGTTGGTTATATTTTCATCGATTATAACCAACCATCGTTTTATAACTTTATCACAAATATTTAATGTGTAATTAAAACATATAATTTTAATGCCGATGTACCTGTAAAAATTACAATATTTTATTATACATGTAATTATACTACGTCTTATGTCTTAATGTTTTTTAAGAATGTGAAATATTTAACTAAGGGCAACAAACTTTTCGTTTAAAGTACCTCAAAACTAGTACCTCAGTGGTACTCAAGAACCACTGTTTTGGATAAAAATAATATGTACAGATAATAAAAAAAAAACCAACGTTAATTGTTGTATTCCAGGACTTGTACTTGTATAGGTGCACACAAGTAATTATAGTCCAGAATTTCTATTTCTACAAAAATAATATTGCGGCAACAACTAATTTAGAACCAAACCCATAATTTATGTACAGGTGAATTAACGTGCACAGCCTAAATAAATATTCTTTTACGACAACCAATAATACTTTAAGTCAGAATTTCTTTGTAGGCCTACGCCAACAATTATTATGCATAGTATGCTAAAGAATTTCTAAGAACAACAAATAATGTTTATAACTCTTATTTCTTATACAAGAGCTAAATTAGTATCAACAATATTTATAACTTAGTTAATTTTACCAACGATTATTAATTTTGAATGAAAAATAAAGCTGTAAATCTTCTAGTATCTCTATGCAGATAAATGATTAAAATTCTTATTCAATAACTTCTCTGTATTTGCCAACAAAATATTTATACCCACTTTACATACGGTGAAAACTATATTATCTATACACAACTTTTATACAACCTTAAAATTTTATTGTTTATTCAAAATGTTTATATAAAAAAGCAAAACAATAAACAAGGACTATAAATATAACGATTGCCAAAAAATAATTTGTACAATAATATCAGCAACATTTTGTGCATCAATTACTTGTAAATAGTAGCATAAATAAAACTCACAAACATTTGATGAATAAAATGTTGAAACAAACCTGTTAAAATCCAAAGCTTCTACACAAAAAATAGCATTCATAACACAATAATCATTGCTATCACCGGTCAATTAATCTGATATATTTTTCCATTATAGAGCACTAGGCCTAAATTAAGCCATAGAAAACTTCCTGCCAATTCGGGAGTGCAATTTAGCAGGCGATTTTCGATTCGTAATAACCATGAATTAGTCACATGCGAAGTTCCGATTACAACAATCCGATATATGATGGAGCATCGGTAAAATATCGGTTCATAAATGATCAACTGGAATATAGCGTGACGACGAACATTAGGGGGAATATCGTATTGATAACGATCTAAACGAAATCTTCGTATTCAATTGTCAAAGTTTGTTACGATGTTTCGATTACAACAATCCGATATATGATGGAGCATCGGAAAAATATCTGTTCGTAAATGATCAACTGGAGTATAGCGTGACGACGAACATTAGGGTGAATATCGTATTGATAACGATCTAAACGAAATCTTTGTATTCAATTGTCAAAGTTTGTTACGATGTTTCGATTACAACAATCCGATATATGATGGAGCATCGGTAAAATATCTGTTCGTAAATGATTAACTGGAATGTAGCATGTCGACGAACATTAGGGGGAATATCGTATTGATAACGATCCAAACGAAATCTTCGTATTCAATTGTCAAAGTTTGTTGTGAAATTTTAATGTAGACTATTTAAAAGGTGACTACAATCATTGACTTTGGATGGGTTCTATAAGTAGAACCATGTAGAACCTATTGTAAACCAATAGATTAATCAAAACGTTCTCTGTTTAAAGTTGATCATCTGGGCATGTTTTATAATAAAACTAAATACCCCCGCCGCAGCAAACCTGCAGACTAAGCGAATTTCCATTTGACTGATTGGATTTACACTGAAATGTCTACTTAAAAATATAACATTTATTCTTGATTTAAATAGAATTAGTTTAACAAGTACTTAGGTTTGCTGCATCAGGGAGGGTAAAATTGTTTTTTTTTAATGTGAATTGTTAGTAAGAAAAAAAAAAACATTTTCCAAATTTGATCAAAATATGTTCACAAACAAGCAAACTTCAACAGTTTACTTATTCTCCATAAGAATAATATGGGAATTTTTAATTTAAAATTTTTTGGAATTTTCTCCGTAACCATTAGGCGCATAATAACGCGTCAATATACTAAGTTATTTGTTTTTTGAAGCTCTACAAAATGGTTTGTAAAGAAATTGCTAAATTTTATGTTTTTTGGGTCAAAAATGGGAAAAACCTATTTTTACCCCATAAAACCCCCCGTAAACCCCCGTTCCCATAGTCCGATCATGCTGGATCGCGAACTCGTTCGAATAAACGTAGGTTTACACATTTGTACCAAATTTCATCAAAATCGGATAATTTTTGCTCAAGTTATCGTGCTGACGGACACACACACACACACACACATATATATATATATATATATATATATATATATATATATATATATGAATTTGAACGGATGGTGTTTTTGGCCTCTAGGGACCTCAAAACGAAAAAAAATCGGTCCCGCGTCCAGGTCTTACCATGAGTACTACGGTAATAGCTTATTCCCTATATGGGAAATTCGCTAAAACTAATATTATTAAAATCAGCTGATCGCCCAATGCAAATCGAATGGAAATTAAAAGTTACAACCAAAGAATTCCAAGTAGTGTTTGACGTAGAATTTGATTAAGAAGGTAACCTATTATTTTATAAACTAAATGTTGGATAATAATAACACAATACAGTAGCACGCATAGTACACTTTTGGAAGTTATTGATATTGTGTGGGACAATGAAGAGTCAATTGTTAAAGCGGTCTTTAATTGATTGGTCCCAGTTTCTCTGTAGAACTGCCAATAAATTCATTTGAAGATAGAATAACTTCAATTTTGTCGTGTAGTATCCCTATTGGAAACAAAATTGTGTGCGAAGTTTCAACTTAATATTCTTGAATTGTTTGTTTGCTACCTGCGTTTTGAGTAAGTAATTTGCTTATGTCACAGTGTACCTATAATACAGAGTGTCCCGTAAGTAAACAGCCAAACTCCGGAA